TTTTTTTTTCATTTTTAAGTTGAATGGTTTTTTTTGTTTTGCTAAACTTCAGTTGAATGAGTTTTTTTTATTCTAACGTCCAATTTATAACAAATTATTTTGAATATATAACATAATAATTTATAATAATATTATTTTATAAAAAAAAAAACATGGTGTCCTGCCGGTGTGACCGGTCGGACCGGTCACGACCAGCCGGACCGGTCACGACCAGCCGTCCGGTTTCGGTGGCTGGACAACAACATTTTTTTTTTTTTTACTTTTTGGAAAAAAATGGCAGGAACAAAAATGTCCAAGAGAGGCGGTAAATAATAATAGGGGAGACAGTGAATAGTAATCCTCTTATAGAGAGTGATCACAAAAGAAGTCACACAAAAAGACACGAATGTATATGCATCGTTTGATGTTGAAGTCCCTTGAGTCTAAACTTCCCCTAATTCACTTTGATGGATTGAGAAACAAAAATCATATTAACATAATTAAACTTTTTATTTTTCTTTTGGCCAAAAGGGGATAGTAATTAAAGGTTTCAATCATGTTGACACAAAGAAAGAAATGACACTGAAGTTTCCTCTCCCAACAATTAGTTTCCATACACTACAAGAAAATTATGAAATTCCAACGAAAATATATTTCAATAAAATTTCAACGGCAATTTCAATAGATATTTCAATGCTATTACTTCCGTTGGAATTATTCCAAGGGAAATTCCTACAAAAATATTCCATTGGAATGAGTTTTCCATTAGAATTTCTGTTGAATTTTGACGATTCCAACAGTAGATTTTCCAATGGTGGTGGAAATAAAAATTCCAACGGAAATTCTTACGGTGCAAAGCCGTTGGAAATATAGCTGTTGGAATCACCAAATTCCATCTAAAATTTCAATGAAACATACATTCCAACAGAATATTTTCGTTGGAATCACTCCAACGAAAGCTATACCATTGAAATATCCGTTGAAATTTCTATTGGAATATATTACCATAGGATTTTCCGTTGGAATATAATATTTTTTTTGTAGTGATAGATACAATTCACTTTCACAAATTGACAAATTTTGCTTGTCCTAATTTATGGATTATTGTGGAATCTTTTATGTATTATTAATGATACTTTGTAACTCACTTACTCTTTTTCAACACTTCTCTTCCTCAAGTTTTTTTTCACACAAGTGAATACAGTTAAACAAAACGAGTCATTCATGAGGTTTCAAAATAAGTTGAGTTTTAACTTATTTAAAATTCATTTATGTTTGACTCGTTTATAAGAATCGAAAATATAATAATTTAAGTAATAAGACTTGAGTTTGAACTCGAGTATCAGGAGCTCGAGTTCGGCTTAACTACCTCTATTGGAATATCAAGGTCAGGCCAACTCCGGCTTGGGTCTCTATCTCTACCCGACCAACTTTGGGCTTGGGTCTACGAAGTATTCATAAGTGAAGGGGCGTGTTGGATATCACTTGTGACTTGTCTCACATTGATTTTATAGAGCTTATAAGTAAGGGGACGTGTTTGAATATCACCTGTAAGTTTTCTCACATTGATTCTATACAGAAAAATAGCCCTAGCATATACGTCTAGTGGGTTGCTCCTTCGGGTGAAGTTTCAAGAAAATATAATTCATGAAAAAATCGATCACAAAAACACACGAATTGTATATACATCATGTGATGTTGAACCCGTCGAGTTTGTTGATATATGAACTTCTCACCCAATGAAAACATGACACGTGTTGGTAATAAATAATAGAAATTAATCTTCGAACAACGCAAGTCTATAGCAAAACCCGTCGAGGATAGTGATAGGCGAACAGCAATTCGGATCTCTAAAGAAGCCGAATGCTAATTCGACTTATTTCCTATCACCCATCCATGTATTAATGGCTGACAAGAATACCACCTCACAGTTTGTCGGATAAACGTGTCAATACCCTCGTCGTTGATCTCGGTGGAGATCCGGACCGCAATGCTATTTTGCTTTTTAGAAATAGAATATCATTTGTACTACACACAGTTATACTATACACACATAATGCACGTTCGTACTATATGTATAAATAGACTGAAAGACCACTGTGAAGGAATCTTTTGAAAAGCCGGACTTAATTCATCAATTCCTCATCAAATCATTACAAAAAATTTACATTTTCTTTTACTTTCGATTCATTCTCATTTTGATTCGTATCTACGAATCCTTTTAACAAAAGAGTCGAAACTTCCCCTAATTCAATTGTAAGAATTGAGAAACAAAAATCGTATTAACCTATTAAA